GTTTATTTGTTAGTAAGATGGGGAAAACAATAGAAGCTGGGTAGGACAGGTCTTCATGACTATGGGCAGTTAAAATGAATTATTATAAAGTTAACAGTTTAGCTGATCATAGTCCTTCCATAAATAAAAGAAATTCATAAATATTTTCTTTCAGAAATCTTTGACATCCAAAATGGAAGCCAACTGGGCTCAAGCCAGATCCCTTGTTCTATCAGATGACGGAGTGCTGAGAGGAGAATATGTGAAATAAAATTAAAGCCTTCTAAAATTTTTCCCTGCCATGGACTTTAGATAACCTTTCCTGCATTAACCATAAAATCATTATACACATATTAAAATACATGAATAAGAAAATAAACTCCACGAGTTCCTATTCATGGAGGGTTCAATAAACCCCTTCTTAATAAAAAAGTGAAAATTAATAACTCAAATAGGATCTTGCTGGGAATATTTAATGACTTAAGGAAACAAACTTTGAAAGACCCCTAGTCCATGGGGAATGTCACCTACATACAATTGATTTACTAGATAGAAAGAAATCATTAAAATTGCTCCAAGAGGCCAGTATTTGGTAAGCTAGACAGACTGCAGGTTTCAAAAATAATGAAACTTTTCATCTTTAAAGGTATCATATAATTAAGATTTTCAGTTAAGTGAGACTGTGAACTTTCCCTTAGTAACRGGGGTTTTGTTATAGAGAAATATTAATATAGCATACTCAGAGGACTAATACTGGACAAGGTTGATCAAACACCCTTCTGGGACTTCTGCCTTATGTGGATGCTTCCTTAGTAATTAAGGGTCAGCATTCAACCTTGAGCCTTGACCCTGAGTACTAGAGATTCAGACTGGGTAGATGCTAAGGGGAGTGTGACTCTGCCTCAGGCCACATACCAGGCATGCTGTAAATTTCAGTGGATTTAGAACTGCCTTCAATTCTCACTSTCTCCTGCACTGAGCTTTCTAGAGTATATTCTATTCTGTGGGACATATCAGAATTTTGGCAATGTTAGATTAAACAAAGTTAAACAGGCTTTGCTGCAGGATTTCATGTGACCTTCAACGTGGTAATGAATCTTCCAGAGATGTTGTTCAGATCACCTCCTAAACTTACTTGGCTTAGAAATCTTTCTGGTGAAACGTCTGATAGGATCAGAGTTTTTAGGACACACTTTAGAAAACACTATAATACTTTGGCTGTGTTGCCAAAGCCAAACTTGTAAATGAGCTTAAATCCTTTTAATGGCAGCCGTGGTCCCCAAGATGTAGTCTAAACTTCTGGATGGCCTTGAACAATCTGGCTCCTGCTTATCTCTCCAGCCTTCGCTTCATCTCCCATTACACCCTCTCACAGTCGAAATCCTGGAGGGAACTACTGGTGGATTTGTCTGCAAAAACTTTCTTAGACCCCTGAAAGCATGCAGTCTCTTATCTGTTCCCATACCAATTAGAGATTAGTCCTCTTGTGGCATCTACCACCCTGATCCACTGATGTTGGGACTATGTTCTCTACTTGATTAGGCTGTACAACCCAGTGCCGACCACATACTCAGAGGACAAATACTGGACAAGGTTGTCTGGCACACAGAAGGCTATAAACCTACTTGTGGAATTATTGAAACAATAGCTATTAGTAGAGAGAGGAGGGCCCCACTGTGGCCAGCACTTCAGGAATGCCTGGGCCCCTGGGAATAGACAAATGGCACATAAGCTGGAGTGTCTGTACTAGGACCTCCTGCTTCTCACTGGGACACTGGGTGCTATCTGTGGATAAAGGAAGATGACAAGAGTTGGTCAAAGGAAAGAGAACCTGGTTCCATCCTCTGAACTGTGTCAACTTTGGCTCAGGGCTAGAGCTGTAGAACAACCTGGTGCAGGTACTTATTTGTCAAGCCCTTATTACTGTAGCATCCACAGAGTTACCATCAAAGTCTGAGGATAGAGCCACAGGAATATCTCTGTCATTTCACTATGGCATTCCAGAGGATTTTTTTTTTTTTTTTTGCATTCAAGAGAAACTGCATTTGTGATGTGTCTGTAGCCCCCATCTTAGAGTTTTGTTTTGTAGCAAACTCAAATAAAAGACAAAGAAGTTCATGCTATCAGTATCTAGTGATGGGAAAGAATTGAAAATTGCTTCCCTAGAACTTGAATTTCTTTGTGACTTTCAGGGAGCTGTTTAGAATGGTGATCAAGAAAGTTGGCATGCTGGGCGCAGAGATGCATTCCTGTAATCCCAGAGAGTGCAGAGGCTGAGGCAGGAGGATGGGAAGTTTAAAGCCAGCTTCATCAATTTAGAAAGGCCCTCAGCAACTTAGTGAGACTCTGTCTAAATAAAATATAAAAAGGAGTAGGGATGTGGCTCAGTGATGAAGAGAGCCTGGGTTCAATTTTCTGGTACCCGCTCCTCTCACAAAAAGAAAGTTAGCAGGCTTGGTGGAATGTATCACAGAATAAAGGTGTCTCTTTCTCCTAAGGTCAAGGGAGTAGGTGAACATCTCTAATTCAAGGTGACTGACTAGCTTAGGCTGTTCAAGATTCAAGTTTTGTTCACTGCCCTCTCCTTACTTCTAATTACCTATGTGGTGCTGAGAATCGAACCCAGCACCCTGCGCATGCCAGGCTTGTGCCACATCCCCAGCCCAGAGTATAGGCCACTCTTGAAGTAAAATCGAGCCTCAGAGAACACTGCTGTTGTTCAAGAATAGCTCCATTTGTCATTGGAGGGCTTTGGGGTAAAGCCACAAAATATGATCCCCCCACCTAATTGTTCCCCAAAGGAAAGGATGCAAATTCCTGTGTATTTCCATAGGTGAGATAAAAACAACTTGATGGGAATACTTCGGTGCTGCCAAAGTCATTTTTTTTTTTTAATCAAAAAGAGAAAATCTCAATGGAAAGAGAAGTCTGGAATGAGAACCCATGTCATAAAACTGAAGGCTCATGACCCTCAAACTCGTTGCCTTTGTGAATCAAGTTGCAGTCATGTGTTGACTAGTGGGGTAGCAAGAGAGTTAAGAATTAAACTCTTGCAAAGAGTTAATGCAGAGTCATAGCTTCCCCTCTGAGGGAAGTCATGTGCTTCCTGAGTTAACAGATATTATTTAGTAAATATGTGAAAAAGAAAAAGGCTACTTTGGTATCGCTTTTTCTTATAACATCATATTTTTTTTAAAAAAAAATATGTTTTTAAAGTGTGAATGGATTCATTTTCTATAGAACAAATTCAGTTTAATTTTCTGGCTGAGATTGGGGAAGGCAACGGTTTTGATCCAGAAGTTTGTACATTAACTAATTAGAAAAAGTATGGCAACTTTAACAAAAGATACTCTCTCTTGTTGGTTTCACTACTTAGAGGTAGCCTCTCACCATGTTAAATAACATTTTGTTGCCTATTTTACCTTATAATCTAGTGGATGTTAAAGATATGGTTCACCATATAACCTGATTAATTGAAGAAAAATACAGCTTCTTATCGCTGACATTATGAGGTTAGAAATAGCATCCTATGCTAATCTGCAATGCCAAGAAATGAAGATGGTTTAAATCAGATCTCATGACTAATGCATAAGATCCAAAGTTCTTTTATTCCTGGCTATTTTAGAAAACTGGGGTGTATTTTTACCCTAAAAACTAATTCTATAAGATTTATTGAGGTAATACAAAATGCCTTATAATTAACATCTATCTCACAATTAAGATTTATCTTACCAATGATCACAGAAATGTTAGCAGTTTCTCCATTTCAATTTTTGTAAAATTATGTATATGCCATGGTTTAAGTCCAGATTCCATGATATTTGATGCTTCTTATTGTTTTTTGATATGCAATATTTGGAAAGATAATTTTCCATGATAAAATGAAAAGTTTAGATTGCTTTCTGCAGTCACCATTTCCTTTTAATTGCACTTGCTGTGAATTCATTGAAACAGAAATATATCCAGCCATAAAGTAAGCCTGTTATTTTTGCTTGTTTTTGTTTTGGTCATGACAAACTGTGAAATGCTGTGTTTTTCTTATAGTTCTAGTCCATGAAATYTGCAATCTTTCCACTTGATTTACGAAGGGCCCTTAATTACTGCTGTCATTAGCACCTAGTGTTCAAAACAGTCTGTTAAAATGTACTGTTAGTCTCACCTCCAAGTCCCTGCTTGCTTTATTTTATTTTTTTCCCAAGGGTAAGTAAAACAATAATTGTCTTAATAACAATCATTATATACAGTGAATTAATAATAATATTGCAAGTTTTTTGGTGCTTTTTTTTTCCTGTTTATTCAGAATTCGGTATTTGTGTGTTAAGACTGGTCCAGAGTTCGAACAAGTGTCCATAAGCAGGCTTGTTACTAGAGAGGACTTATTACCTGTGTTTGAAAAACAAGTCACTCATTTGCCTTTCTCTTTCCACATGGATGGGAATGACAGACGACTGCTGTGAGGCCGCAATGTTTCTGCCTGGTCATGCACAGTTCTGCAATATAATGCATAAATGTATAACAACAACTTGGGCTCGCAGGCTACCTCGCTTGGAATAAGGAAATCCAGCCAGGCGCGCCCCCGTGGTTGTCCTCGCGCGCGCGCGGGCGCGGGCGCACGCGCACACACGTACACACATGCACATATACACTCACACACGCGCACACACAGGTCAAAAGTTGATTCATTCCTGAGATCCCAGAGAATCTTTCTTTTCCCGGTTCCTGGCGGCTCAGGCTTCCCAGTCTGGGTAGTAGTGAGGTTGGGGCGTGGGAGGGGCGGGGAGGGTGAGGCTAAGGAGGCGGGAGCCCGGCGCCGGGTGCCGGTGCGTGCCGCGCCCGCTCCTGCCGGGTGAGTCCGGGCCGGGTTTTGCGCCGTGTCCCCGGGCTTGTCTCACGGCCTCCAGCCGCCGCCGCTGCCGTGTTTACTGAGCTCGCGCGTCCTGATATCACTCCGCTGGCATGGAGGAGGAGGAGGAGGTGGAGGAGCGAGAGGAGGAGGAGGAGGCGGCGGCGGCGGCGAGCAGTTGATCATTGTGATGGTGGCAGGAGCAGCGGCGGCAGCGGCAGCCCAGCCGAGCGTTAGGGGCTGCTCTCCGCGCGGCGTTTTCCAAAGGACTTCACCGATCTACTTTTGCAGTCGCCTCGGACTGTCCATGTGTTTACTTCCCCCAGCCCGAGGATTCGATATCTAGGTTCCTGTGAAATGCAACTGAGCAGCCAAAGTACTTTGAGAACACGGGGCGGCATAAACACCAAAACTTTTTTGTGGAAGGAAAATGCAATAAGCAAGCTTGCCGTTTTCCGATGCGGTGTGGAGTGAGTGTGTGTCGCGCGTGTCCGCACTGGAGGCATATGCTTGTGTGTGTACATGGGGTGTGTTTTTCGGTACGTAGGGAGAAAATGCTTGCCAACTACCGGAAATCTCCTGGAATTTATTAGAAAATAATGGATTATAAAAAGAAGGCAGGCGAGGAGCGGATCTCCCCTTGAGTTGCAACCCGATTTGCTGCTGGCTCAGTTTGTTGTGATTCTTTTTGTTGATAGGTGTCTGATGGTATTCCGATAACACCCCCCTTTTTTCCCCCTCCAGCTTTACAGTTTAAAAAAAGGAAACAAAAAAACCACCCCAAAATCTCTCCCCCTTTTTTTTCGCCCCGTCGGGATCGCTGTTTCCATCCATGTGCTTGCGTCTCCCCCGCGTTCCACTTAAACTATTTTAATCCTTGGACCCAAGGAGGAGGCTGATAGGGGGGTGGATAAAAAAAGTTCTTCCAAAATAGTGTGCCCGGGGAGCAGGATGGGGGATTTCGCAGCCCCCGCTGCTGCCGCGAATGGCAGTAGTATTTGCATCAACAGTAGCCTGAACAGCAGCCTCGGCGGGGCCGGGATCGGTGTGAATAATACTCCCAATAGTACTCCCGCTGCTCCGAGTAGCAATCACCCCGCTGCCGGCGGCTGCGGCGGCGGCGGCGGCTCCGGGGGCCCCGGCGGCAGCTCGGCGGTCGTCCCCAAGCACAGCACGGTGGTCGAGCGGCTCCGCCAGCGCATCGAGGGCTGCCGGCGGCACCACGTCAACTGCGAGAACAGGTACCAGCAGGCTCAGGTGGAGCAGCTGGAGCTGGAGCGCCGGGACACGGTGAGCCTCTATCAGCGGACCTTGGAGCAGAGGGCCAAGAAATCGGGCGCCGGCACCGGCAAGCAGCAGCACCCGAGCAAACCCCAGCAAGATGCGGAGGCTGCCTCGGCGGAGCAGAGGAACCACACGCTGATCATGGTGAGGGCGCACTGGCAGCGGGCTTGGGGTGCGCGTGGGGGGGGGGCGTGAGCTTCTTACAGGGTGTGTGAGGGTCTGTCTGATTTGCACCGTGGGTGAGGTGGGATGAAGCCGAAGGGTTAACGTCAACTTTTCCTAGGGAAAAAGCTGTCGTCGCCGCTACCTGTTAATCTGTCAGGGTTGTCAGATTTGGGGAGGAGGGGGTGGGGGGAGAAGCCAGTCACGACTGCGAGGGGCGGAGGGAGCCTCGAGGAGCGTCGGGTGAGGTGCAGGAAAAGTTTCCCCCTCCCTTTCTTAGATACAGATTTGAAAGAGAGCGAACCCCAGAGTTGAAACCTTGCTCCTCCTCTTTACCGCTCCCCTCCCCATCTCTCGCCGCGCCGCCTAGCCTCCCAGGACCCGTCCCCTTTCGCCCACCCCTCTCTGCACATCCGCCGGGTGTAGGGAGAAATTGATGCTGTCGCAGATTCTGGGCGGGCACAGGGCCCTCAACCCCTTGGAGGAAGGGGGAAGGGAGAGCCTCTCCTCCCCTCTCAAGCTCACCCCCTTTGGGCTGAGAAAGTCTGAGAGTTTTGTGAATGAACTTTGAAGTGGGTGAGAAACGAGCGAGACTAGCTACGCGCGCGCTCGCGGGAGCGCGCGCGGATGCGGGACGCGGGTGCGCTGCGCTCGCGGCTGGAGACCCGGGGCTAGCCCGGCAGGTGGAGCAGTCTGGAGGGTCGGGAGGGACTCGGCCCAGCAGGGGCGGGAGGCAAGAGCTACTACGCCCAGGGCTTGCGCCCAGAGTCTCCGCGGCGCCACTTGGCCTGGGGTTCTCTCCTCTCCTCTTCCTAAACTTGCTTGCACCCAGTCTTCTCCGCCTCACCCCCGCCCCGCTCCTCGCCAACTTTCCAGGCCGACGTAAGGAGCCTGAARGAGTGGAGGATAGCGGGGAGGTGAAGGAGGCTTAAATGGCTGGGTGGGTGGGTTCGAGGCAGGAGGAGCAGCCAATGGCTTAACTTCTAAGGGAGGAAGGGGCAGTTCCCACCCCCTAACCCTGAGGGTGGAATCCTTTCTCTTATCTCCTCTCCCGGGTTCTTTGGCTTTCCTTTGGTGGGTGGGTGGGGGGGAGGCCGGAAGCTTGGGAAAGGTGTCTGCACCCCCTCCCCCACCGCGCTGCCGGGCTCGGGGCCGAGGGTGCGCGGGGTGGCGAGGCGGTGGGAACGCTAGCCGGAGCGCGCCCGCTCCCTGTGCACTCCGCGACTCGATCGGCCGCGCAGATACCGGCGCGGGCGGCCCTGTGTGTGTGCGGTGTGCCAACCGCGCACGTCCGGGGTCTGGGAGTCCTCGGCTCGCCGAGGGTGGTGTCAGTGGCGCCGCGGGCTTTGGCCCGGCGCTCAGTGACAAAGAGCCGGCTTGGGGGAGGGGAAGCTGCGGCGTTCGCTCTCCACCTCCCCCCGCTCCGCACGTGAAGAGGAACAATTTGTTTATCTTGGGCTTCAAGAATCCTGCCCTCCTCCCCGCTCCCGAGGCCGCCCGGCTCCTCCCCTCTCTCCTCCCTCCWGGGCAAGATGCTGCCCGGTCCCGCCGGCAGCGCCTCCCTCCTCCCCGCGCTCCTCCCCTCCCTTCCTCCTCCCCCGGCCCCTCCGGCCCTCCTTCCCCCTCCCTTTTGGAACGCGGTCGTGGGGGAGGGTGCGGGAGGCGCTTTGTCCGCCTCGCGGCCCTGCTCAGCCCTGGGCGGCCGGTTGGGAGGGGTGCTGCGCCCGCGGCCCTGCCCCCTCCGCCGCCCCCGGCCGCCTGCGCGGAGAAGGGGCCGACTCGGTTGGAGGAACCACGGTCTCAGAGTCGGGGAGGGAGCTTCTCGCTTTACAAACAGGAAGCCAAAAGCCACTGACACACTGTAGCTTTTCTGATTGTACCCGGAGGCGGGGCGGGACCTGCAGCCTGGGTACCCGACGCGTACCCATTTCTCTTCCAGACCCCGCCCCGCTTGCGCTCTCAGCGGTGGAGACCCACTTTGTGAACCTGAGACTGGGGTAGAATTTGAAAGGCGTTTAGGATTTCAGCTTTACCCTCCCTCGCCCCCTTTTCGTGTGTGAGTGTGTGTGTGTGTGTGTGTGTACACCCCCTGCTCACAGATTGTGTAGAAATGGGCGTTTTGCTTGGGATTCCAAAATCCTCGTCCCACGGAATCGGGATCCTAGGTGATGAGGACCGGCGAGGCGCTTACCTCGCCAGCTGGGCGACTCTGGAACAAAAGCCAGTGTCGTTCCCTGTRCTGGGTCGCTTTTGATCGCTGCGAGAGCAGAAGAGTTTGCGACCACAAAGTTTTCGTGTTTGGGTTATGTTCTTACCAATAAGCTTTGGGATGGGTAGGGAGGACTCGGGGTGCGCGCGCCTCGGTTGTAATGCATCCGCAGGTGGAAGTAAGCCCAGCGTCCTGACGTTACCTGGGAGGCGCAAGCCCAAGCCAGAGCTGCTGCCTTTGCAAATGAAAAGATGATGCTTACTTGAATAGATGAAGACATCAGCTGTAAATTTCATAATGAATCTCAGTTCACCAAGGTGACAACAGAGACTTGAAAAATGATTGCCAGAAAATTAAAAAAAAATTCCCTATCAATTTTTGTGACAATAATTTAGCCTATTGACTACACTTGGCGCCAAGGCACAGAATAGGATCATATTGTAGCTTCCACTGTTTCACATATGCATCTTTCACTGATACCAGTGCGAAGTATGTGTGATGAATGTTATGAAAATAAACAGCCTTAAATCTTAAGCAAAGAGTTGTGTATAAATTCTGTGTACTAAAAAAGGAAAAAGAAAAATTAACATCATCCTCTCTACAAGTTACATTTCCTTTCAAAATAATTAGTTTAAAAATTCACATCAGCCTCTGAAATGAAGACTTTTTAAACTTAGCTTATGTGTGAGATAAAATCTGAAAGACAGAAGTTAGGAAGAAAATGTTGATCTTCATTTTCTTGAATTGACTCCTGAATTATAGTTGTGCTTCAGTGAGGCACAGAGCAATTAAATGTAGTTCTCAGATTGGGCTCTCCATTTGGAAAGCCCTTAAGAAAAACTATGATCAACCACAGCCAAATAATAATAAGGATGATGATAAAAATAAAGGTGAATAGGATTCTTTTCTATTTTATTGCTATTGTTTATTTTGGGAGGCCAATATGTTGAAAGTACAAAATATTGATTAATCCTCTTTCTGCCTGGCTTGGGTTAAGAAGGCAATCTAATGAGGGCTTTATATTTTGGATTGTTTTGCTGTTTTAGACATTAACAAGCAGGGGCATGGACAACCAACTAGAAAGCAAAAAAGCAGGGTGGGTTAGGGCAAACAGGCATTCTTTGGCTCCAGGCTGTTGTATAGGGTCCTGAGTTTGTCTGGGTTCTCAACAGCACAGCTGATGGAACAGGTGGGACTTCTTAGTTTTGAAATTGCTTAACCTCAGCTAGGAGGTCCTTCTAGACAGAGAGCTGAGCTCCTACCCCAACCCCAATCACTACCTCTTTGTTTATGGCGAGGGGCTTTTCCCTCCAAACACTTGTTGATGAGAACTCTTGATTTCACTTATTAAAGAATCCCAGTCACAAAGGTATCTTTTCCTAAAATTTTAATTTTTTTATGGAAATAAATGGAGTTGTTGTTTATTTGCTGTACTTAGAACTGAGGTTCTGGTTATAGTTTTTTAAAAATATTTTTTAGTTGTAGATGAACACACTACCTTTATTTATCATTATGTGGTGCTGAATATTGAACCCAGGGCCTCACACRTGCTAGGTGAGCGCTCTACCACTGAGCCACAACCTCAGCTCCCTGGTTAGAGTTTTAAACTAAAGTTCAGCTGGCAAAGTTCATTTTCAAGCCCAAAGATAAATTGACTTGACAATGGGTGATCATTCAGGCATATTGAACAGCACCACAATGAAGTTTTCAAAATTTCAAAATGGTGGTCGTCTTACTCCACATGGATAAGACCCATATTGTTTTTAGGACCTTTTCACTGCAYTACCACCATTATAACTTTGGGAGCRTGCTTAATTTATAGAGCATTTACAGACTACATAAATCTGTGTGACCTTTGCTCTGAAGAATTTATCAAATAAAGTTCACTTGATTCTAATATATTAATGACTGGGTGTTGGAGACCACTGCACCCCTGCCACAATGTTCTCATCCATTCCTGAGAGATCCAGGCAATGTCAACATACTAGCCCAAGTGCTAAACCTTCTTATGAATTGGGTTTGCTATTCCTGATCCTGCTGAGGGTGATACTCTGGCTCTGCATCCAGGTTTCTTTGCAGGCTTGTACTATAATCTATTTCTAAATCTTTCCTATGATAACCTTTTCATTGGCTTTTCCTGTTTTGCTGCTGTTGTGGAGGAYAGGACATAGCTGTAACTTAACTTCCCATAGCCCAACATAGTGTACTTTAATAAGTTTGTGGGAAACTTTTTAAACTTCGATTTCTCTGTCCTAAACATGTTCTGGTATTTTATTCTCAAGAAACATTTTTTTTTCCTTTTTTTTTCCTTAAGCTCTAATACGTCTAATTCTTTGATTGTGCTATAYTTTCTTTAGTCCTAGGCAGCCAGTGGTCAGAAAGTGGAAGTACAGTTAATCATTAATCTTAATCTACAAAATGCTCTTCAGGCTGAGTCTTTCCCAGGGAAAGCTGCTGTGTATGTGCTCTTTCTAGACTGACTTTTTAAAGTTATAAACTTTAGAATCTTTTGCAAGTTTTCTGCCACCTAATATGAGAGAAATGAGCAGTTCTTGTATATGGTTCTGGTAACATTCTGTGAAAAGGATAAGGATCTTAGACCTTAAAGTCAAGTTAAAGAAAGTTATTATCTGTAGTCCTCTGTGAGACCAATAGTCAACTAAAAGAGATGTCCTGATGGGGATTCATTTGGGTAGGAAGAAATGGAAGCCCCCCCCCCAATCCTTTGTCCCCTCCCAACACACACACTGGTGCTGATGTCATAGAAGAGCTA